GCATGCATAAAATAGTCTACAATACAACAGATAATATACAAGACCGCAATAATATACACAATGACCTGAAGGATATGTGTGTTCATTCAAAGAAAGGTTTTCCTATTAATTAATTAATTAGCAAAGAAAAGTCCATCCCTTGTGGATTTTCCTTATGGACAAGGCAGTGATTTTCTCCACCTAAATTCCATTAGGTCGTAAATGTATCTGGTGTCAGGGTTGCCATGGTAACCAGGGTCCTGGACCTTGTTCACAGACAACTTGGCACCCAGTATGTTTATTGGGTGAGGGGTCTGTGAACGTTTGTTAATCTAATGAATAATTGATTTGTTAAATCAATCAAATGAAGGTGTGTCTGATTGGTCCAGACGCTACAGCAGATAACTGATAGTCAATAATGAATATTGTTGATCACCTCAGGTGTCGTGTTGGAGTTTTCTGCATTAGGATCGATGACCAGGAACGTTCTCTTTTCCTTCAGTGTGGAATTGCGACTCCCGCCATTTCCTTCCTCCACCTGATATTTCCCGTCCAGGTGAGCGAGCGTGTCCTCTGTAATGTGGACTCTCCTGTGAGAAACCATCATCATCAGAATCATCACCAATAATACTACGGTAATCAGACCTGAGAGGTGTAAAGGTGTGGTACCCAGGCACTCCTCCAGACTCCATGTGATTGGCTAGAGTCACGTCATCTGACCAGACGTCGTACTGCCACTTCTGAAGGCCGATCACGCCGGACAGGACATTACCCGTGTGCACGCCAACACGCATGTTGATGTTCACGTCCGTCGCCTCCCTCAGCTTACTGCAAAAAAATCCTCTCATTTTAAGACCCGAAAAATTTTCGTAAAAAAAAAAAAATTATAAAAAAGTTAACTGAAATAAAATAAAATATTAAACTAATTTAATAAAATAATAATTGAAAAATATTATTAACAATATAAAAAAACGAATAAAAATTGCAGCATTACAACAATTTAAACTCAAGTGAAAACAGAAAATATAACAATAATTTTAAAATATTAAGAAAAACTATCATAGCGTATCTGTCAGACCTATGTTCCTGTTTTGTTGTGTTTTCTCCCCATGTGCTCCCCGTGACCTAGTTTTCCTTTGTGTTTGATTGTGTTCATTGATCTCAAGTGTGTCTCATTAATTCCCTCGTTTAGTTGAGTATTTAAAGTGTGTTCTGCCCTTTGTACCCTGTCCAGTGTTAAACGTCTATGTCCTACGTGTGTTCCTATGTTAACCTTTGTTTGGATTAATAAAAACTGTTCTAGGTGAATTCTCCTACGTCTCCGCGCTCCTTCGCTCCTACATAGTAGGCATTTGTGACAGTATCAATGATATTAATATAACACTGTTATTAAGATGCTTTTTGATCATCGGACTCACTTTATGGCCGTGCACATGTCCAGACCCATCTGAACGCAGTTGCGAGCGTGATGAGAGATCGGATCAGGAAGACCCGACACGCAGTAATAACAGTCGCCCAGGATTTTAATGCGCAAACAGCCGTTCTTCTACAGAGAGCGAGAGAGAAAGCAGAAGAGAGAAAGGGTTGAGCACATAAAGTAAATAGAAACACAGAGAGCAGCAGTAACGCAGATCCTCGCTGACCTTGGCGATGTCGTCAAACCTGCCGAAGAGTTTGTTGAGGACGGCAACGAGCTCCTCAGGTGTGCAGGTGCTGGACAGGTGTGTGAAGCCCACGATATCAGCGTACAGGATACTGCTGACCGAAATCACAACTTCAATAAACTATAACAATTAGAAACGGAGCAATTCCAATAGGGTCAACAGCAATTTCCTCGCACTGCAGTGCTCGGGGCCTAATAATCGCTGTCTGTGAGGGCTTGAGCTTTGGGTTTGTGTGTAATCAGTATAGTCAGCTTCATATAAAAACCAAGGAAATGCTTTGTGTGTGTGTGTGTGTGTGTGTTTATGAGTGTGTTGTGCATGTTTGTTTATGAGTGTGTTGTGTGTGTGTGTGTTTGTTTGTTTATGAGTGTGTTGTGTGTGTGTTTGTCTGGTCTCACCTGATGTCTTTGTGCTGTCGGATGTAGAGACTGTGGAAGTTTGGTCGGTTCTCTTCGGCGCTGCATTTCGCAGACAGACGTTTGACGATTTCCGTCTTCAGCTCCATGGCGATGTATCGCGGCAGCACAGACAGCAGGAGATGCTCCTGGACACACGGGTTAACCGGTTTAACATTGTCTTTATTTACAATGTATTTATTTATTTATTTCAGCTCTGTTCCAAAGCCTAAGCATTGGAAAGCAACATGCACACACTCAAAAACACCCTACTGAGACACACACGGTCTGAATGAAGTATACATGTATGCAAGTCTGTACCTGGTCACGTTTCTGTTTGGCTTGTGTGGCGCGGTTTCTGCTGAAATCTTCCCGTTTCTTGCTGGACTTCCTGTGAGCGTGTTCAGTGTGCCACAGGTGAAACACACCCACGGCATTAACACACACGAACAGCACTGCGTTCGCCACCAGCTGACACAGAAAGAGGTTTTGAATATGTGCGGCGGCAGGAAAATCATCTGGCGTCAACTGATGGCCTCCACTGCTCACCATTTGCATATAACATTTCCTCTGACCAGCCATCAATACATATGTGTGTGTGTGTGTGTATACATACTGTATGTGAGTGTGTGTGTGTGTATGTGTGCCTGTGTGTGTGTGAGTGTGTGTGTTTGTGTGTGTGTGTGTGTGTGTGTGTGAGTGTGTGTGTGTGTGTGTGTGTGTGTGTGTGTGTGTGTGAGTGAGAGAGAGAGAGAGTGTGTGTGTTTGTGTGTGTGTGTGTGTGTGTGTGTTACCTGCACGGCCAGGTCTTGTGTCTGAGGGCTGGTTACAGACACATACACACTGATGACAACAATGTGAGAAACACTGGTTCCGATGCCGAAGCTCAGAGCCCATGAGAGCGGGAGAGGAAGAACTGTATAAACAGACAGCGACAGGAAGAGGAAGAACGCGACCTGACGAAGAAAAACAACAACATTACAGCCGAAAATCAGCATTTCTCATATATACAGCAGAGTTATTATTGACAACTACAACTAACTTAACAACTTAACATTATCGGAAATAAAATTAAATTAAAAAAGTATTTTTTTCAGCTAGTTGCCTAGGCACCATTTCTATTATTAGTATAGTTTAGCTTGATGTACTAAAATAACTAAAACTAGACCAAAACTGAATTTATTACTCTATAATCTTTGCACTCAAACCTTGTTCAAACCAGGCATGTTCATGATACATGCAAACTTAAATTATTGACTATTAAAAGTGTATTATTACAATTTTAATCAATTAAAATTCGGAATTGCAGAAGATTTCCTGCATGAGGATTAAGGACGTTTACAAATATTTTTTACTAGCAATTTTTACTGAAAATATTTTTGAGCTTGGCATAACCAGAAAAATTTATATCTTTAGGTTAGATTACATTTAAATAATTTACATGACTTTTCCAGGTCTAGAAAACACACCTAAAATATTGAAAATTAGGTTATTACATTTATCTTCAGGATCTGTGTATTTGCAGAAAGCATGTTTCTGATGAAAAAATAAAATAAAGTAAGTACTAGGTCTAAAATCAAGTGTACATCTAAACTAGTGGTGCTCATCTGATCAGCTGACCTGCTCCCAGGCCGTGACGACGCCTCCGGTGAAGATGAAGACGAAGGCGATGATGAGGAGCATGGACCAGATGAAGAGCGCCAGAGGTGTTTCTCCTCGCCGAACCACCGGCAAACACGGCAAACACAGCAGCAGAGGCACGCAAACACACACCACCACACACACCACTGCAAATGCCGCCACGTGAACACTCAGGCTCTGGATGTGTGAGAGAAACAAACACCTCACGTTTTCAAACGTTACACACACCTGCTGGAAAATCCAGCTGCAGCTAGTTTAAAGGAATCATTCAGCCCAAAAATGAAGATTTGCTGAAAATGAGCTCATTTCATCCCAGATCAGGATGAGTTTGTTTCTTCATCAGGTTTGTAGAAATGTAGCACTGCATCAGTGTCTCAGCAATGGATGCTCTGCAGTGAATGGGTGCCGTCAGAATGAGAGTCCAAACAGCTGATAAAAGACATTTTTAACTAAAATACCACAGAGTCCATAATCCATAATAACGCTTCCTGCAGTGAAAAAGTGCATCTCCTGTTGTCTCTCACATCAAAATCACCTACATAGCTGTTTAAACGCTGCTTGATCTGTGCAGATTTCTCTCCTGAGGAAGCATTATTATGGATTATAGATTCGTATTTGAGCATAACCTGAGGGTGAGGATATTCTTATTTTGGAGCTGAATTATCCCTATAGTGACCACCTTAATCAGGTAGGATCAGGTTTTTCCAGCAGGGATGTACACAAAATTTGCATTTTTTGCAAACAGCAAGGTGAGTAACCAATAAGTGTGTACATAACCATCAGTCAGCTCTTACCCTGCCGGTGGAAGGGATGATGATGATGATGGTCACGCAGAAGAGGATGGCTATTAGTAATCCAGACACCAGCAGCGGCGTCTCCTCCAGACAGCGCAGAAACGCCATGTTCACCGCACGGAAACAGCAGCACGCGCATCTGCCGGACCTCCAGCGGGATTTACGCGGTTCATCGTCCACTATGAACCTGCTGCGAGAGCTCTGAGAAACCTCAGTGGTGGCATTGGAAGTCCTGGAGGTCTCAGATAGCGTCGCCAAACTGCGTCTCCTGTCGACGGCATCAGGTTGAGTCCAGTGTGGGATGTTCTGAGAAGGAGTGCCATTGCTAAGTCCATTTATGGTGCGATTATTGCGTTCCTCATCAGGATTGGGAGCGCTAGCGCTGAGGGATTCACTAAGATGGCTCTTGATCCTCAATGATGTACGTGGTTTCAGGGGTTCGGGGACGTTCCCGAGCTTGGCGACACCCAGCTCGATGTAAACCTTCGAGTTGTCCAACATGCTCACGCTTTTGGATCTTTGCTTGTGCTTCTTTTAACGATTTCTGTTCCTGCACAGTTTCAGCAAGACGCCATTGTGCAAAGTCAACACGCGCCAATAAATAATGTCTGCTAAGGAGGGGTTAAAACTTCCATTGTACAAACTGGATTAGATAAAGTCTGAGGCTTTGAGACCAGTTTCCAGTCGCTTCCAAAATGAATGTTTTCAGAGCTCTTCAAGTCTCTTGAAGTAAATCTGCGTAGTGAAGCTCCGTTCCTCTCGAAGCGTGTCAGATGTGTTAGCCGTTACTTGAAGGACACAATGGTAAAGAAGATCATTAAGTCAAGAGAAACATCTGAAATGCATCTGAAACTTCAAATCAATTAACAGTATAATGGGTTTTCAGATATCAACTCAATAGAAGAACCATTTTTGACTCCACTGTAGCATCTGCTTAAAATCATGGATGATCATGTATTAGTTAAGCTCTAAACGCTCATATTTAGGTGTATGAATGTATCTCTGGTTTAATATCTTCTAGATGTTTTCTTTCTTGGTATCAAAATTCATGCCTCTGATTGGCCATCCCACCCAAAAGGTGGGTGTGGATAGAAACTTTCAAAAGTCATTGGCTCAGACTAATCTTTGCTCAGAAACCTTTCTTCTTGAGACGGACACTATCCTAGACTCCTCAAAACTCTCCTCTTGAGTTAGATTTTCCGGCAGTTTTTATCTTCAAGTAACTTTGTCGATCCGCTGTGGACTTTCCTATCTTCAGAGGAACCAGAGCAAAACCTCCAGCTCACTTCTAAAAGAACTCATCAAGAAC